AGATAGGGTGACTACCACTCTGCCACAAGAAGCTTAATGCCACATTTATAGCGAAATACTACTGTATGAGGTGCTGGAAAGGAAGGGAGAGTAAATTTGCCTATCGCCTTTAACAACTGATTAAAAGCCTCAATAAGAATGATCAACTCCAAAAATTAAATTTGAGGTTTAGTATTGAGATTAAGAGCAAATATGATATGTTAAAACCAATGGGCTAAACTATCAATTGTTAATATAAATTTTTAAGTTTCTTAACTCTTCTGTGCAGAGTAATTTTAATGTTTTCATGTTTAAATATTTGCTGATTGGGGATAGTTTACTGTTTAGCCAAGATTAATAATTGATATAAATTTCAGAGTGTGTGACTTTCTTAAAGAGACACTACTTTCACAAAAAACATTTATATAAGAGAAGTCATCATTATCACAAAAATTTTGATATGTTTTCTTTTACAATGTGAGACTTATATGGCTATTTATGAAGATAATTCATATTAATAAATCAAGTTCTTGCTTTATTTGTCATGGTTTATCTGGACATATTGATGCTGGGGTAGCTTCACAATTTAACAATGATGTGAGTACAGAGGCCGTTCAGACCCTCAAATTTGCTCTGCCATTTATGGCTGATCTGTACCTAAACTTTATTAATGCTTCTTGATTATATTATTCCTTCACACAAATAAGAATTTATTAATATCAATTTTGAAATTTTCAATTGAGCCCTAGAATTTTGAGGGAGAGGATTCTATTTTACTTTTTCCAAAGAACTACTTTCAGACATCATCACTGAATGACTTAATTATAATTATTTTAATCAACCTGCTTGGACATGTTATGACATCTCCAAGGTAGGTAGAATCTTAAGCTAAACTTTCTTTTTGTATATATCTAAAAATACTCTCACATAGAACTGAATGTTACTTTTCTCCCAATCCCCATGGTATCGTTTTCATCAATTAATCACCACCAGTAAACCACTTGTGTTTAAAAGATAGAATCTTTATAATCCCAGTGGATGGTAGGATGCTCTGTCATTAGAGAGAGACAACTGGTGGTGATTTAACCTGAGGGTCACTGTGCTTGGTCAGGTGAGGAAAGCAGTTGAGAAGGCGAATCCTTCAGTAAGGATTGTGGGTATTGGACCCACACTGTTAGCATCACTCACCAGCCATCTAAACAGCTGAGCTAAATAACCCCAAGTCACGAGACCCTTATGGCTTAATTATAACATTATGTTCTCCCTGTTCTGGATTTTTCCACAGGTGGAAATACTTTTCCCCATGTACCCTTTTAAATCATTTAATTATGTTAAACACCTCAATTCAATCACCCTTTAATTGCCCATACTCAACAGAATACAAGCTGAATTCATATAACCTCATCTCATAATTTAACCTTGGTATCATTTTGGCGAATCTCTCCTGTACCCCCTCTGGGGCCAATATATCCTTCCTGAGGTGTGTACTAGACCCTCTGACATCCATATTTTTTTACAAGAGCATCAACTGATGTGTTATTCAGGGACTTTGTGGTCAATGATTGCTCCAACCACATTTTAATTCACACAGGCACACTTTCAGCAGGGAGAGCTGGAAAACAAGTAAGAGTAGCTTTGTTGGGCCTTTTTCACCCTACGTGATCTAGAGACATTGAAACCAGTTACGTAGAAAGTATCACTGCACAGTCGTTCAGCCCGTTATGAATGTGCCAGCCAGAATGAGCTATCCAGAATATTCCACCTTCCAGCTCTTAGGCCGCAGCCCTGTTGGGTACAGCACCTCAAGTGAATACCAAGTACTCTTTAAAAGCTATGAGGAATTTCTGCCTGTACTACTTTTTCACACAGTGAATTCCAGACCCCAACACAATCTAGGTGATTAAAATTACTTCCTAGCTCTCCTTTAATCTTATCAATTGCTTCAAATCTATTCTTGACCCTTTCTACTAACAGAAATAAGTCCTCACTATCCATTCTATCTAGGCCAGTCATATTTTTGCACACCTCAATTATCCTTCCCCTTAGCCTCCTGTGTTCCAATGAAAACAGCACAAAACCTTCCTCAGAGTTCCAATTCTCCAGTCCTGATAAGTTCATTATAAATCTCTCAAGTTTGATCGCATCTTTCTTGTAATGTAGTAACCAGAACTGGACACAGCACTCAGCTGTTGCAATCTGCCATCATCTTGGTTGAAACCATCTAACTGCTCATAAATCAGAAATAGAATCCATAATCTTGGCTATAAGAGATAAATTGTTGTATTGCTGCTGAACTTGGCCCTGCTCAAGATCAGGAAGTCTGAATATATCTTTCCATTCTTTCCTTCGAATCAGTAAACTGAGACAATTCTCCACTACTTTGGCTGAGAACCTTTGACTATCCTGAACTGTGCAGCTCTGTTCATTTTGGAATATTCAGGCAAGTTCCAATGTTATCTTATTCACCATGAATTCAACATGTTATTGAATAATGTTTAATTTAATTGGTTATTGTTGTGTTTAAAGTTTACCAATTCTGGCATTCCTAAAATCAATGTGTATTGTGTCATGGGTAAATGAAACATGACATTGTAAATGATATTTAGTCATACACTAAATACTGAATTCACTGCACTGCTCAAATTTGCTACTTTTAAAATGATATTTCATAGTGTATATATTGTTTTATATTGGAAGCTATGGCTCAGTGGCAGCAGTTATATCACTTTAATCTAAGTAGGGAAATTTAGGTCCCTCTCCAGGGATTTGGAGTTCTAGAATCCAGGCCAATACTCCTCCCTGTGAAGTGCTGAAGGGTGTCTTGCATTGTTCAAGGTACTGCCTCTCCAGATGAGACATTTAAACATCAGGCCTGTCTACCTTCTCAAGTGGATCTGAGTGATTCCAATGTGTTCTTTTAAAGAGCAGCAGGGTTATCACCAGCATGCTGGCTAATAGTAATCTCTCAACCAATATCACTAAAACAGCTTATCAGGTTGCTATCACATTGATGTTTGGTTGAGCTTATTGCATGCATCTTGGCAACTATGTTTTCTATATTATCATAGTTACTACACATCAAAAGTACTTCATTCTAAATTACTTTGAGAAGGTCTGAAGTTGTGAAAAGAGCTCTATAAATGCAAGTTATTATTTCTCATTCTTTAAATGCATCTTGAATTGATAACTGTTTGCAGTCAGAACTAGATTTAGGGTTTTGCACCACTTCTACAAGTAGGAAAGGTCACCAGTCTATTACAGGTCAGTTAAGAGTTCTAGTGACAGGAGTCACTGATACGGAAGAGAGAAATCATTCAGTTTCATATCTGTGGAGATATTTGCCTACCTTGCCTCCTATTGGGGCAGATGTATTTTGAATAGCACTCTGTTTGATAATGAGCCACCCAGATGTCAGTGTGGGATCTAATGGATTCATGTAATGACCCCTGTTGGGAATATGGTATTCTACTGGACTGCTAAGACAAAATCATAAGCCAATGGTCAGGAGACATAAGTTCAAATCCTATCATGACATCTAGGAAAGATATTTTCAAACTGTTCAACAAAGATATTCTACACCTCTCAAATAGTTGGGGCTTGAACCTGCTCCTCCTGGCTCAGAGGTAGGGACACCACCACTATCCCACAAGAGCCCTATGACAACTGGGAAATTTAAACTCGGTTGATTGAATAAACGTGGAATAAAAATCTAGTCTCAGTAATGGTGATCATCTAACTTCTGTCTTGTTATAAAAAACCTATCTGGTTTATTAAAGTTCTTTAGGGAAAGAAATTTGCTGATCTTACACATGTGACTGGACATGCTATATTGTGATTGATTTTTTTTTAATGGTACTTTAAAATCACCCAGCAAGCCACTTAGTGATATAATGATGGGCAATAAATGTCAGTGATGACCGCAAGACATGAATGAATATAAGTGTAAAGCTCAGTTTGAAGCAGTCGGTCCAGAGGAGGGAAACCAAATGAATGAATGAAGAGAACTTGAAGGTCCTGCAACAGTATTGTAGAGGGGTAGGGTGCCAAACCAAGACTGGCAAAAAGCAACAAGCATAGTGGCAAATTCAATACATTTGAATGCTTTTAAGGCACAAAACTTCAAAACATAAAAATGCCTTCTAAAACTTCACTCGGCTTTGCTGAACACAGCTGTGAGTCTCCTGAAGCAGCCTTGGAAATTACTACGTTGCTGACTTTTTTTAATCACCCAGGTTTTGTGTAACGTGAAGGAGAACAAGAATAATTTTGGCAAAATCCGGAGCATTTTATGATAAATAATCCAATGTGAAAGAGGGTCATATTGTACTAATGATGTGTTCTAAAGATAGTGAACAGCAATGGCCAATACTAAAGGCTGTCACTATAATGTTCAGTTTCAGGGAGAGGGATCCTGTGTAGGACAGAAAGTTCGCCACCCGCCACCAGCCACCAACCACCAAATGTATATAATAAAAGGAGCAGTTCATCTGAGTTCAGTATATCATGGAATCATCTGAACAGCATCTCCTTATCAACCTGACAGTTCCTGCTTCCGGCAGGTTTTTTTTTGTTTAGTCTGGTTTTGAGACATTTTGCTGTTATTTTCATTCAAATTAGATAAATTTCCTCCAAATTAGACCAATTGTTTCCTCCTTAGTCGCTGGACAATGTGAACAATAATGTCAAGATGTTCATAAACCTGCAAAAAAAGTTTATTATGATATTGTTTGATTTTTTTTTCCTAAGATATAAAGGGCATGCATTCATGTAGCACCTTTTCATGTATCTGGAGTTGGAATTATTTCAGAACCAAGACAGCTGTCCTGTGAGCCATGAGTGACCAGAAAAATCTCCTGAGATCGATGAGTTGATATTTTTCCTAATCTAAGCCATTTATTTAATTATTTGAGAGCTGTTAGCACAAAATGTGCTAATCCTTCAAGTCCTACACAACAAGTAATGAAACCACTGATGATCAATAGCAATGCAAACTTTTATTTTTTTTCTAATCAACCTGTTCACAGATGCCAGTACACATACCTGGAGCACGTGGGACTTGAATCCAAACCTCCTGGCCCAGAGGTAAGGGTACTACCACTTCAACACCACTTCAAGAGCCCATAGAACGAACTATCCAGTCTCCCTCGTTCCAATTATTTGGACTGTAGACTCACTTTAGAACTTCCTACCTGACATTGTAAAACTCTCCATCTAACAGAACTGCCAAAGTATTTCACCACATGGATTATCAGTGTTCAAGGAGGCAGTTTGACACCATCCCCTCAAAAGAAATTAGAAGTGGGCAATAAATGCTGACCTTTCCAACAAAGCCCATTTCCCATTTTTTTTAAGAAAGTATAATATTTCCAGTTGGATTGGTGTTTTAACTGTGTTCCTGATTTCCAGTCTTGGGAACCTAAACAATTTAGTGCTGCCAATTGGCTATGCAAGAACTATCTTTTGGGATCTGATGCTGGTGAGTTAAGGAGAAATGCCTATGCTGGTAATAAATATTTTACATCTTCCTTACTGCATCTCTGAAGGAAATGCTCCCAGCTCAGACAGCGTATAATTTAGATATTTCACAGACATTCTGCACAATCCCTAAGTATTCAATAAGAAATGTGGCTCAACCTGGTGTAAGTTCTCTACTGAGTAAATGCTAGTTATTTCTGGTGGCATGATTATGTTTTAAAAAACAGAATTAGAAGCTGAAGTTTTTTTTTGGATTTCTCAAAGTGCTATAGAAATCTCTATGTGGCAATTGAAATTTTGTTACTGCACAAGTGAGCTGGCTGAACTAGAAGTACACTGCTACATTTTTTTCTATTTTCAACGATCAAAATCCAAATGTGTTTGAAATAAAAAGCAAAACTGCAAATTTTGAAATGGAAATGGAAATGAAAATATGAAACCTTGAAATATATTTGAAGACAGCAGTGATTCATGAATGAGGCCCCACATCACCTTCTCATCGTCTAGAGATAGGCTTTGGCAACAATATCCACATCCTGACACTATGTAAGGGAAATAATCAAAATGGCTAATGGAATGTTGGCCTTTATGTCATGCGTGGAATATTAAAAGGCAGAAATAATGCATTAGTTGTTCGGGGCTTTGGTCAGGACTAACTAAAGTACTGCATTCAGTTCAGGTCACAGTCTCATGAAGGATATATTGGCATTGAAAATGATGATTTACCAAGAACATAATCAATTTACCCACCACTGATGTCAGACTTACAGGTCTATAGTTCCCAGGTTTCTCCTTACAGCTTTTCCTTAAATAAAGGCACAATATTAGCCACCCTCCAGTCCTCCAGCACCTCACCTATGGGCTGTAGATGATACAAATATCTCTGCTGGGACCCTGCAATTTCTTCCGAAACTTCCCACAAACAGAGGGTGGTGGTGGAGGGTTGTTTCTCAGACTGGAGGCCTGTGACCAGGGGTGTTCTGCAGGGATCGGTGCTGGGTCCACTTTTGTTTCTCATTTATATAAACTATTTGGATGAGAATTTGAGGCATGGTTAGTAAGTTTGTGGATGACACCAAAATTGGTGGTATAGTTGACAGTGAAGAAGGTTATCTAAGATTACAAAGGGATCTGATCAATGAGGGCAATGTGCTGAGGAGTGGCAGATGGAGTTTAACTTGGATAAATGTGAGGTATTGCATTTTGGTAAAACAAACAAGGGTAATTGTACAATTAATGGTAGGGCTCTAGATAGTGTTGTCGAACAGAGGACCTAGGGATTCAGGTTCATGGTTCTTTGAAAGTTGCATCTCCGGTAGACTGAGTGGTTAAGAAGACACTTAGCAGGCTTGTTTTCATTGCTCAGACCATTAAGCGTAGGAGTTGAGACATCATATTGCAGTTCTACAAGACTTTGGTGAGGCTGCTATTGGATTATCATGTACAGTTCTGATTGCCCTGCAGTAGGAAGGATATTATTAAATTGGAGAGGGTTCAGACAAGATTTACAGGGATGTTGCCAGGACTGGAGGGTTTGAGTCATAAGGAGAGGCTGGATAGACTGGGACTTTTTCATTGGAGTGTAGGAGGTTGAGGGATGACCTTTTTATAGAGGTTTATAAAATCATGGGGGGAATGGATAAGTGAATAGCAAAGATATGGAGGTGCCGGTGTTGGACTGGGGGGGGCGACAAGGTCAAAAGTCACACACCAGGTTATATAAACCTATTGGACTATAACCTGGTGTCATGTGATTTTTGGTCATGAATAGCAAAGGTCTTTTCCATGGGGTGGGGGAGTTCAAAACTGGAGGACGTAGATTTAAGATGAGAAGAGAAAGATTTTAAAAGGGACCTGAGGGGCACCTTTTTCATACAGAGGGTAGTTCTGAATGAACTGCCAGAGGAAGTGGTAGAAGCAGGTACGGTTATAACATTTAAAAGCCATTTGGACAGGTACATGAATTGGAAAGGTTTAGAGAGATATGGGCCAAATGCAGGCAAGTGGGACTAGTTTTAGTTTGGGAAGTTGCTGAATAGTAGCTATGTGCCTACAAACTGTAGAAGCTATTACATCTCTATTCATCTACCCAATGCCATAGATGAGGTTCAGCAAGCAAAAAAGTCGGGGAAAAGGTCTTTGAAACATAGCTATGAGAACGTTTAAGAAATCAAATATTTATGAAACTGTTTGTTTAATTAAGGGCCATCCCTTTGGGAAAATAACTGCCATTACTGCAGTCTTTAATAATTATTTGTGTGTGTTGGTCATTTTACTGGAGAACGGAGAGTAGAGCAAGATCCCAATATTAGAAAAGAAAATGCAGTAGAATTTTTCAAATAATTTTTTTGCTTCTAGAATGTGTGACATTTGAAATATGAGACTGAAGACCTTATTCTGCATTCCAATTTCAAATGGCTCATTATTTGCAGGGCTTTATAAGGACAAAAGCGGTATCTAATGAGGGACAATGGATTCTGCTGCTGGTATGTAGGTGCAAGTCCTTTTAAGGTTACAAGATACAGTTGCTGTTTACTGTTGAAGTGAACATTTGGTTCACCTCTGGTCAAGCTGCAGAAAAGAAACTCTGACCTTGATTCAGCACAGTTTAATGAAGGAACTTGTAGACATAAGGAGTAGGCAGTTTCAGACCCTCGAGCCTGCTCCATCATTTAATAGGCTCATGGCCGATCTCATCTCGGCCTCAACATCATTTTCCTGCCCACTCCCCATAACCCATTAATCCATTAGTGAATAAAAATCTGTATATTCTCCTTGGATTTATTCGTATACCAGCCTCCACTGCACGTTGGGGTATTGAATTCCATAGATTCACAACTCTTTGAGAGAAGTATTTCCTCCTCCTCTCTATTTTAAATGTCACCCCTTAGCCTAAAGCTGTAACTTCTCATTCTAAATTGGCCCACAAAGGAAAGCATCCACTCTATATCTACTTTGTCAATCCCTTTTGCATCTTGTACTTTAATTAAATCTCTTCTCATTCTTCTAAACTCCAGCAAGTATGGGCCTAAATTGCTCAATCTCTCCTCGTAAGACAAACCTTTCATCTCCAGAATTAATCTAGTGAAATTTATCTGAACTATCTCCAATGCAGTTACATCCTTCCTCAAATGAAGGGACCAAAACTGTACACAGTACTCCAGATGTGGTCTCAACAATGCCTTGTACAGTTGCAACAACACATCCCTATTTTTATACTTCTTTCCTCTAGCAATAAGTGCCAAAATCCTATCTGCCCTCTTTATTACCTGCTGTACTTGCATTCTAGCTTTCTGCAATTCATGCACGAGAACACCATACCGAAGCATTTTCAAATTTTAGACCCACGTGGGCACATTTTCCTGCTAACGTTCTGATCTGAGCTGATGGACAAGTCAGAGCACAGATTGGAGCTGACTTTTTAGACTATAAACAAATAAAAACCAAAATTTCAGGAGAAACTCAAGTCTGGCAGTATCTATGGAGAGAGAACACAGAGTTGATGTATCAAGTCCAGTAACCTTTCGTCAGAATTCATTGTTTTTGTTTTGGATCTTATTCATTTTATAGACTACAAGTTTTCTGTTTCCTTTTAGTAACTGAAGAGGTCAGTCACAAGACATACAAGAAGATGGCAATTTTAACAAGTACTTCTAACAACTGTTAGGTGGCTCAGTTGGCTGGACAGTCAGTATGGATTAGATTAGTTCCAGCAACTCTGGGTTTAATTCCCTCTTCTGACTGGGGCATGAGGGTAATGGGAAGGCCTACTGAGGCATTTTTAAGATAGAATTAAGGTAAGGACTGAAGGTTCAGAAGAGAGGTGAGGAAACACTACTTCACCCAGATGGTGGTGGGGACATGGAACTCACTGCCTTTAAGGGTGGTAGAGACAGAAACCCTCAATCTTTAAGAAGTAAGGAAGTCTTGTTACAACTGTACTGTGTGTTGGCGAGGCCACACTTGGAGTATACAGCTTTGGCCTCTGTGCTTAAGAAAGGATATACTGCTTTTGGAGACATTTCAAAAGGGATTCACCAGGCTGATTCCTGGGATGAAGTTGGCATCAAGAATGATTAAACAGGTTGGGTCTTTATTCATTTGAGATTAGAAGAATGGAGGATGATCTTACTGGAACATACAAGATTCTGAGGGGGCTTGACAGGATAGATGTTGGCAGATGTTTCTGATAGTAATGATATCTCAAACTAAGGAACATTGTTACAGAATAAGGGGCAGTTATTTAAAACTGACATACAAAGCAATTTCTTCTCCCAAAGAGTAGTGAATGTCTGTGGACGCTAGATCAGCAAAAGTATTTAAAGAGAAGGTAGATAGATTTTTGAACTTTCAGATAATTAAGGGCTATGATGAGCTGGAATAAGACAGGGTTGAGGCCTCGGGCAGATCAGCCATGATTTTTTTTTGAATGGTGAGTTAGGCTTAATAGACCAAATAGCTTACTCCTGATCTTATTTCTTATGTTCTGACATTCACTGTTCACTGATTTATCTAATAAAACGTGAAGATTAACAGAGAAGTCTGTCTCTCCAGCCCAACACAGAAATTTACATTGACACATGGACAGTCTGTAAACGCATAAAACTTCATAGTACAGCAGCAGGTCATTATGCCTTCCCCAGCTCTTTGAAAGTGACACCAACTAGTCTCACTCATTTTTACTTTCCTGTTGTCTAGGATTTTGTTTATTTTCTAAGTATTCATTCAATCTCTATATGCAACACTGAAGAAGTCACGTCAGATTCAAAACATTAACTGTTTCTCTGTCCACAGATGCTGCCAAACGTGCTGAATTTCTGGCACTTTGTTTTTTGTTTAATTTCGCAGCATCCAGTATTTTGCTTTTTATCCCAACACACAAATACATTTATATAAAAATCAGCCTAGCTTCTCTACTGTTTTTTTCCTAAATACTAAGATCTATATTTCAGCATGTCAAATCGAACGTGGCACCTTTATTTGGGTAACCCATGCGAGCTGCTGGCAATACATTGAGCACATTGGACAGTTTGTGCCTTTACATAATATGAACATGCAGGAAGTAACACGGGCAGTGCAGAGGGTTTGATCTGGAAGAAACAAGCATGAAAACAGCAAATGGGAAAACCTCATTCATTGGTGAGAATTGCATTTTACATTGAATATTGCACAGATGCGTTTTGCTTTACAATGAAGGCACTCGGGATACTGCCGGAAAGTCAGGGGTTTTTAATTGGCAGTTTGCATTCTCTGGTTTCGTGGCGACCACGCATCGTTTGAAACGGAGTAATTTCATAATTGCTGAAATATCCAACAAGAGATTTCGCCTCGAATTCACAGCGCGTTGGTTCTACGATTATTGAATGTGGCCTCGACGATTGCACACATTCCTAGTAACGAACGTATTTGGGTAAAAATGAGAAGTGTGGAGCTGAAGGAACACAGCAGGTCAGGCAGCATCAAAGGAGCAGGAAAGCTGACATTTCGGGTTAGGGTGTGATGCTGCCTGGCCTGCTGTGTTCCTCCAGCTCCACACGGTGTTATCTCTGATTCCAGCATCGGAAGTTCTTACTATCTCTGGGTAAAAATGAGCGGCGTTGTACAGATTTTCCGTTGATCGTGATAATTGGGGAGGCTTTTAGCACTTAACTGTTCAGCAACTGGTTAATCCAATCCGCATCAATAAAGAACATTAAATCCTCGGGGCACTGCTAATGCCCTTTCGCCTGAACTGCAGTTTGACCTTCAGTAACACAGAGTATTTTTCGGGTTTTTTTTTTGGATTACTCAACCTCTCAGTAAATTTCCATCCTCGAGATGTCTGAATAGAAACTGCCGCCAGCGCATAAACGTACTTTGCCCGCAAGTTTTCAAGTTGGGAAATGCAAATACTGAAGACACGCCTGTACATTTTTTTTCGTATTTTTCTTAAATTTCAGCGGCAGCAGACAATGACACCGCCTTCCCCTCCATGTCCTGCCCGCTCAAACAGATTGGTTAATTTAAAATGATCTCCTCCTGAGAGCTGTACACATATGTAAATCACACAACAAAATAAAATGTGTGCACAGCATTATAGGTAGAACATCCTGCGACTAGTCGTTTCTATTTTGAAGACGGGTAATTGGACACCCAGTTGAGGGGCGGGCATATTGTGCGGGGTTATGAGCAAATAGTAGCGGTTGCTTGAATAGCTCTTTCGAAGGCCGAATGGCCTTCTGCGCTGTAACGTTCTGTTGATTTCCATTTAAGACTTGCTTGTTCGAACATGAGCCAATGAACTTTGCTGGTGCCCCTAGCACAACCGGATGTTCCTCTCTTAATCTCTTTGAGGTTTAATCTGCTTAGTTTTCCGATGAATGAAAATAGTACAGCGGCGGGGTGACTGTTTAAACCGGCGTACAACTGCTCCTTTTGCCCTGATTTTGATTTCAACGTGTTTTTTTTTGTTTCCCGCGGCTTTTTTGCTGATGCTACTTTCAAACTGATTTGTCTGGCGCTTTCTCAATGACTGTATTACCATGATTATAAACCGCCTCGAATATTTATGAATTGATGAACGTGGCCCATTCTTTCCAAGATCTGTTCATAAAACTGTAACTCCTTGTATCCACGTGTGTAATTCGGTGTTGTGATCAGCCTCGCACGTCTTGCTCAAACACCTCGCAAATTCTGCAAAACATTGTGATAACCGAAAGAACATGCGGATGCTGTAAATCAGGAACAAAAACGAAGATGCTGGAAAAGCTCAGCAGGTCTGGCAGCTTCTGTGAAGGAAAAAAAAAGTTAACATTTCCGGTCCGGTGACCTCAACTGGAAGTTATGAGGAAGGGTCACCGGACCCGAAACGTTAATTCTGTTTTTTTTTCCTCACAGATGAGCTTTTCCAGCAATTTTTTGTTTTTGTTTCTGCAAAAGGCTGTGCCGGGAACCGTTGTCAACCCAAAATTGAGTGCCGAGAAGAAAATGCATGTTGTCTGAGCGATGGAGCTCGCCTTTACGGATTCCACTCAAACAGACCCAGCAATTTCAGCTTCCTGATATCTGCAGCCTTCAATTTGAGAGCAAGAGACAACACAGTGTGGAGCTGGAGGAACACAGCAGGTCGGGCAGCATCAGAAGAACAAGAAAGTTGACGTTTCGGGTCAGGACGCTTCTTCCTCTGATGCTGCCTGACCTGCTGTGTTCCTCCAGCTCCACGCTGTTGTCTCTGACTTCAGCATCTGCAGTTCTTGCTACCTCCAATTAGAGAGCAAAATGTGTTTGCGAGAGCGCGCGTTGGCTTACTAGTATCACGATTTAAATGCTCTCGACTGCAGACAAGAATGTTTTATTCTAAAGATTCAAAGAACTGACTAGAGTGGAGATCTGAAACAAAAAAACAGAAATTATTGGAGAAACTTAGCGAGACGAAGTTAACATTTTGAGTCTATGACTTCTTAAGAACTACCACAGATGCTGAGTTTTTCCAGCAGTTTCTGTTTTTGCAATAAATCATTACACTTTCGGAATCTTTGTGATCAGACACTCGCCTCCAAAGAAGGGAGGATCTCCCTACGTCGTTCACCAGCCTTATTTGATTGATTGTTTCAAAGGGGGAAGCGATTCGAATGTGGTGTTTGCTACTGTCCGCGACCAACCAATCGCTTGCGTCCATTGGATCAGGATTCCCCCCCCCGCCTCTCCTCTCCCATTGCGTCACAGTGAGCGGTTGCCGCAGTGACGGTGGTGACGTGTGAAAGGGGCGGATGTTAGGGCGTAGGGAGGCGGCGCTCTCTGCGCGGCTATAAGAAGGGGTGCTCCGGGCGAGGCCCGGTGTTCAGTCCGCCGGTCCCAGGCTGCAGGAGGGGCTGGCTTTAATTCGAAAGCAATTGATTGCACACACCATCCCGTTCACATTCCATCCCATTGCAGTCGTCCCGAGTGTCCCTGTGGATCGATAATAACATGGCTGTGACTGAAACCGCAAGTGACTTCACATATTCCAAAATGAGAGGCATCGTCGTATTTCTAACTGGTACGTTACGTTTAGTCCTGTGTGTGCAGCATGTTAAATAGTTGCCGCATTTAAACAAAAAGGTAGTCGCACCTCTTATTAGGAACTGGCTGTTGTCAGCATTTGTCTGTGACGGGTTCATCGCAGATTGGCTCAACAGATCATTTAATGTTTAAATGTTCTCTTCTGATCAAGAGGGCTCTGATGAAGGAAGTGTTGGAAATGTCTCCAGCCTTTTGGTCAACTCGTTTCATTGTTACTTCTAAACAAATGCATTGTAATTTGGGGACTTCGATTGTTACTTAATCGCATTACGTATAAAACAACATGTTGTTGTAACCTAAATGATATGCAAATTCCTAGCCTCTTCTGGTGAATCATAAATTGGCATTCATTTGCGCAATGTATTGTAAATGAGCATTCTTTTCTCTTAAACACTAAGCTGTGTATCGTGAAGACTAACTGATAATATCCTCCAAGTCCGTCAGGGTGGTGTTTTAAGCTTAATGGATTTCTACATAGTGGAAGGATTTGAGTTTTGATGGCATTTTATTTTCCCCCCAGCATTTATAAAGCAACGTAAAATGGGCTTGAATGACTTCATACAGAAATTGGTTTCTAACCCGCAGATTTGCCAGCAGTAAGTGTTTTTATTTATTAAACTTCAATTTACTACCAATCTAAATCCTCGAAAACTAGTGCTGGAGAAACTCGGGTCTGGCACCATTTGAGGAATAGTTAATGTTTCCAGTCTGATACTGATGCTCTTTATTGAAATAAAATCCTCTAGTTTTGGGTAAATCTTGAGTTGCATTTTGTTTTAGTCTCCCTTTTAGTTGAGACCAATATGTGATGCAAGGTTGTATCTTTTGAATGAGGCTAATCAGCGATCCCAGAAAGCTACATTTTGAGGAAGAGTAGGCTCTCTGTAACAGTTGCTGCTTAATCAGGGTTCAGAAACAAAACCTTGTATTTGTCAAACTTTTGGGAGCTAGCTGTGCACAGTAGCTGCCCTGTCTGCTTCACTGACTGCATTTCAAATGGCGGCATTGCTTTTGAAACTTTGACATGTCAACACGTTTTTCTTAAAGATTATGCTACTTAATGCACAACCCTCAAATCAAACAGTGATAGCATGAAGCAAATGAGCAAGTTTGGAACGGATGTTCGTGCTGAACTTTATATCTGGGAGACAGCGCCTCTCTTAGGCCATTACTTTAAATTGAAAAGCATGTAAAAATAAAAATAGAATTTGTCACTGTTATTAATCGGAAGTAAAGGCCACTTGTTTTTGCTTTTGATGTAACATATTTTGAATGATCAGTATTTAAACTGTCAGGATGTTGTCATCTGATTCTAGTTTCCTTCTCCTCTTGAAATTGAAACACTGGTTTATTATTTTGCAGCCCTGATGTTCGTGTTTTCTTACAAATTGACCAAAACCAACCAGATGAAGCAGACACCTACTGTAATTCTAACAGAGTGAGTATGTCTTGTGTTTTAAAATTCTTTTAGTTATTACCATCCAATTAGCAAACCTAACAATTTGAACTTTATTTCACTGCAGTCAAGCCTTGGTTCAGAAGAATTTGACCTTTCTACATCGTGTAGGTAAGATCATTGAACACTATTTTCTATGTTTAGAAATGTTTATTTGATTTTGGTTCAGTTGGTTGACATCTCCACGTAAACAAAAAAACCCCAGAAGTTTCTGGGTTCAAAGTTGATAGCACCAATGCATTGTCAGAGATGTTTTATCATTGGTTGGGATAGTTAAAATTTCAAATTTTACGGGTTCCAAAGACATTAAGGACCCCGATAGAATAATTTAAAGAGTAGCAGTTTTTATGCTCCACAACTGATCACCATTGACTAGCTGTTCAGGACTCTTAACTGTGGGGTTTAGTCAAGACAAAGTTCTCACTCTTAATATTTCTGTCCTGCTTTAAAATTTCTTTGTACATATAGTGTGAAGCCTTCAGACTTTGACTACCTCAGAATAATTGGCAAAGGCAGCTTTGGAAAGGTTAGTGCAAGATTTTGATTTTAATACAGTTTAAAAGCCATCATTTAGTGTTAATCTAATTCAGTCAATAAATGTATAATTAATGCTTTAATCTGCCTTACTTTGAAATGGAAATGTGTATTTACGAATTCTGTAATTTGAGAATGTGTCATTCCTTCTAGGTGCTACTTGCCAAACACAAAGAAACTGAGAAATACTTTGCAGTAAAAGTTTTGCAGAAGAAGATGATTCTGAAGAAGAAAGAGGTAAGCATTGTCATTTTTAAGAATGATGTAGGGAGAAATGATAGAGGGAAGGTGGGGCAATTGGGACAGTAATTCCCCTTTTAGGCTTATCCTAAAGCTATTCATGTCGGAGCACCATAGAATGTCAGGGTGAAACTTATATTTCCCAGCCATTTCTCCAATGTTCATGCTGCAAAGGAGCAATCTTCGGGTCTCCCTTCACTAGAGGGAGACAGTTATTGTTACTGACCCCTGGTGGCCATTTAAGGAATGGCTGAGACCTAAAGAGCTGAACTTGCACTTCGGGTTGGTGTACTCCAACTTTGCTCAAGCAGAAAGCATCGTTAAATAGGGCTGCTGAAATGAGCCAAAACATTTCTGGAATCCCTGTCTTAAGTCAGTTGACTCATTGGTTCTACCAAAGAAGTTTTTTTGCCCCAGATTATAAAGTCAAGGTGTTTATACACTGTTTCAATACCTGACTAAATGTTTGTTGTTTCCTTCTCAGCAAAAACATATCATGGCTGAACGCAGTGTCCTCTTGAAAAATATGAAACATCCTTTCCTAGTAGGGCTTCACTATTCCTTTCAAACCACAGATAAACTCTACTTTGTCCTGGATTATGTGAATGGTGGTGAGGTAAGTAGATTTCACAGAAGTATTTCACAGTAATGCTTAGTTTTTTTTTTAAAAAACCTTAATACTGTACTCTTCTAATACTTCTCAATTAGAAGACTAGCTATGCCTGTTATGTTGCTAAGCCATTTGAGTTGGAGTCCAGGTTGAGTCTGATGACAGACTGACTTTGGCCAGATCCATAGTTGAAATGCTTACTTTCTGACTGCTGATGGCATTTTGAGAATTTCCAGCAGGCAGATTTAAGGTTAGTTGTTTCCCCTGCAAACAAATAACCCATTGACAGATTTTAGTTTGTTTTGCGTCCTTTGTTTTAAGGATGCCAGTTGCTTGTGATTTCACATTTTTGATGTGATATGCGACAGTTTAAATTAGGTCCTATTCAACTGACTACTTGATTTTTCAAATTAACTCCTCAACCTGTTCAAAATCACTCTTTAGTCAATAGTTATTCTGTCGTGTTTCTCTTTCTGCTACCTTCTGAAGCACTTCACTTGCATTCTGTCAGTTTTCCTATGAGCATTGTATGGTGTGTTAGGAAGATTCCCTTTGTCCCAATATTTCTGGGCAAATTTCAGTCAGAAGACGGTATAGGTAGGCCCATTGTTTATCTGCCTCGGGGATAATCTGTCCTAGCTCCAATCAGAAATATATATTTTAGAAGTCTGTGACACAGCTGGTTTTCCTGTTGCTTGTGATCAAATGTAAAAGACTGTTGGTGACATTACTTTACTTTTTGGACAGAAGAAGTAAGGGGAGTAATTGGATAAATTGAACATCGTTATTGGATTTAAATTTCTCATTGTCACATCTATTGATAGAGGTATTATTTTGCATGCTGTACCTGGATTGGGGAGGAGAACACGTGGACTTGCCTATTCAGATTCTTAACCTCACTTTACATTCCAATGAATTGGAATTTATTTATTTTGTTTTCCTAAACAATTGACCATTCAGTGTACTGTACATGATCTCCTAAAGCAAGTAGCTAATCAAATGTTTGGAATGTTAACTTTTTTCTTGCATTTTGTTGTTTTTTTAGTTGTTCTATCACCTTCAACGGGAACATGTGTTCCTGGAGCCCAGAGCAAGGTTTTATGCTGCAGAGATTGCCAGTGCACTAGGCTACCTCCACTCTCTGCATATTGTTTACAGGTATGTGACTAACTAGCCAACAGTCTATCAATGTACATGTAAAGCTAAATATTTTTACTGTTCCTTTTTGTGCACTTGAGTGACTGTACATCCTTGATGAAGCTGTGGGTTGACCAGCTGCAAGGAGCAGTTAATGCTAAAATGCTTACAAGTTTGAAGGTACTTACAGGCCACATGACATCATAGAAAATACATTACACACAAATCTGAGATCCAACTGATTGCTCCATTTTCAAGTAAGAGTAATTTGTGCATCACCAGATGAATTTGGATGCTGAAAGTCATTCAGCTGATATCTCCTTGGCTTCACAAAATCTCTCCTCCATCAAAGATGGCAATTTTAGCCAAAACCTGTCTGTCAGCAACCAGGTTACTTTGGGGTTAACATTGATTTGAACACCCAATTGGAGTTTTTAAGCAAGTAAATGGCAACCATCATTTGAGGGAATGTAAAACCAGTTTCACTTAATCTGTGGGTTTTCTCGATTTGGAAGTTATGATAAAATTACCATTCTACCCAACATTTAATTTTGTGTTCCCTCTTGAAGCTTGAGTGGATAGGAAAACACAAACCTTCCTAACATTTTAGCCTTGTATAAGCTTTCCCATCCAAGACTAAAATGAGACCTCTTTCACTTACAGAAAGTGACTGACTGAAAAACTCAATAGGTCTGGCAGCATTTGTGGGGAGAAATGGCTAACTCTTGAGTCCCATATCTCTTTGGAGCGAAGAAGAGTCACTGAGCTCAAAGTATTAACTCTGTTTCTCTCAATCTTGATTACTTTATTTTAGATCTCCAATATTAGCAATATTTTGGTTTTTATCCCCTTTTGATTTGTAATTTTATTTGATGTCTTGCATGTTCAGTCCTTATGCTGTGGGTCATGAGCCATATTTTCAAATGTTCACTAAATTGAGATTTATTTTTGTCTGTAATGTCTGAGGGCTTAGCCTTTTTCCTACTACATCCCCCTCTGCCCCAAGGCACCTACAAATTTCAGTGCTCCTGCATTGATTTAAGTTACTAACCATCTAATTTCTTTTTAATGCAGAGACTTGAAACCTGAAAACATTCTCCTGGACTCTCAGGGCCACATAGTGCTGACAGACTTTGGCTTGTGCAAAGAAGGAGTAGAACCAAATGGAACAACCTCCACATTTTGTGGTACCCCAGAAGTAAGTGAGAGAACCTCTTCCTACCGCGTGGCATTACAGAAAGGTAATTTCCCATTGTGTCTTTGATTCTCTTGCACACACTCTTGAAATTGCAACCCCTAGTTACTGACATCGCAATTAAATGTTCCAAATTATGAACACTTCAATAAGATCACCGCTATTTGCTCTGCTTCAAGAAGAATAAGCCAAATTCTTCTATATCTGTCTTTATATCTAACATCTCTCGTTCCTGGTATCATTCTCCTAAATCTCCTTTCCACTGTCTCTCCAGAGTCTTTAACATACTTCCTTTTAAAGTGCCCAGAACTGAACACATACTCCGTATGGTCTGAGCAATGATTTGTAGAGATGTAGCATCACTTTCTTGCTTTCATATTCTGTCTCTGCTTCTAAACCCAGGAATCCTATAGGCCTGTTTCAACTTGCCTGGCCACCTTTACAAGGTTCACATGCATAATTGAGGTTCCTGTGCTCCCCTCGAAGTTGTACCATTGAGCCTCTATTGTCTATCTAGCTTCTACCAAAATGTATTACCTCCTCTGTCTGCATTGAAATTGATTTTGCCATGTGTCTGCTTGGCCAACTTGTCAATGTCCCTCTGAAGTCACTCAGCATCATCTTTACAATTCACAATTCTCTCTAACTTTATGTCACCTGCAAATTGAGAGAGTTTTGCTGTTCTCCTGTCTCCAAATCCATTTATATAAATCAGAAAAGTAAGGGTCTCAACATCAGTCCCTGGGGGACACCACTTTCAACTCATCTCCAAATCTGATAAATGCCTACCTATACCGACACTCTATTTCCAATCTTTTAGCCAACTTCTAATTCATGCTGCCGAAAACCCGTCAATCCCAAACATTTCCAATTTGCTAACCAACCTGCCACATGGCGCCATGTCAAATGCTTTGAAAATCCAAGTATACAACATCCATAGCACTACCCTCATCCACTACCTGTGTCGTCTCATCAACTCAAATTTGTCAGACATGATCTGCCTTTGAGAAAGCCGTGTTGACTGTCTAGTATTAACCGTTTTTTTTTTTCCCTCTAGTGTATATTTACCTAGTCCTGTATTTATGGCCTCCAATTTTCCCACATGATGTCAAGCATAGCAGGTTCAAAAACCAATCCTAGATGACTTGCTGTCACACCTAATCCTGAGGGCATCAGACATGTGTAGATGCCTGTGAGAAAGCTGTCCTCTGCTTCTGTCTTTGTAAATATTATAGTAAGAGTTCCTCTGTGTGCACCATATTATAAAATTGGATACCTATTTAACAGAACATTCTACATCACAGAAATGGTTTCCCCTCTGTATTTGGATACTATTTCTACTGACTCCAATATGGAATTTGAGTTGGATGGTGCAGGGTAGTTGCTGACGTAATCATCCACCTTACTTCTGGAGCAATTCTGTTTAAAGATGTGTTCTGATGAAAGGTCCTGACCCGAAACTTCAGCTTTCCTGCTCCTCTGATACTGCCTGGCCTGCTGTGTTCCTCCAGCTCCACACTGTTATCTCTGACTCCAGCATTGGCAGTTCTTACTATCTCTGTTAAAGTCTTTGTAGTTTAAAGCCGGACAATTTGGAGATCCCCCACCTATTGATATTCTTCTCTCCTAATTCTTAAAACATTTGTCACAAATAACAAAAATTAAAATCTTTTGATTATGATGTCACTTGGCAATTTTCTTTATCATTTCCTGATGGGAGACAATTTTGAAGAATTAGTCAGTATTAGCTGAAATTATTGCTGCCAGGGCTGTGTTTTAGAGTTCAATGCCTTTTAGTGATAACTTGAAGTATGTAACACAAATATAGCATCAAGTATCTTGCAAATGTCTCTACAAATACTTGTCTTTCAGTATTTGGCACCCGAAGTGTTACAGAAGCAAGCTTATGATCGGACAGTTGATTGGTGGTGCCTAGGATCTGTGCTGTATGAAATGCTGTATGGATTGGTAGGTATCTGTTGACTGTATTAAAGGCCAAATGAACTCCAGTAACGTATTTACTTGCCTTTGGGATTGTGAATATAGATTTAACTCTGGATTCCTGCATTCCCAGAAGGGAAAAGTGCTTGGGTTAGAGAGTAGCATCTTTTCAATAGATGCTGTGGGTTCAAGTCCCACTCCAGAGGCCTGAATGTGTAATGTAAGTTGGCAAATCCCTGCAGGGCTTGAAGTATTGCTCATTATACCACTTTTCAGATGAGGTTAAACAATGGGCCTGTCTGCTGTTTTCAGGTTGATGTAAAAATCTTGTGTATTCCAAGAAGAATGGGGGTAGTGTAGCTGAGGTGGCTTTCCCCTGTTTGGAGTACCTCCTTTTTGGAATGCAGCCAAGACTAAAGGGCCCTTTTATGATGGAATGGGCTCTGCACTTGCTAGAGCTCAGCTGCCTTCAATCCAATATCCAGAATAGGGACTGCTTGAAGTGGTATTTGGCTCTCTCCTGGTTAAGATACAAATGCTACCTCTGAATAATAGGTTAACCTGAAACATTTTGTAAAAGTCTTTTCTTTTACAAGTTCACTTTTTGCTCTGGTTTGGAGTCCCTTAGTTTTAAAGTAGATGTTGCCTATCAGTTGAGAATATCCCAAAATGTTTACAGGGTGCTGTAAGAAGAAAAGGTCAGTGATAGACCACTTTTATCATGTGGTTTGATGCCATAGGGTTGGAGTTCTTTACACACTCCTTGAGGAAAAGGCAAAGTCAGTGACACTATGATGCCACCCAGAAACTGGAGGAGCAGCACCTCCTATTCTGCCTTGGGAGCTTACAGCCCAATGGTCTCAATGTGGACTTTACCAGTTTCAAAATCTCCTCATCCCATGACCAACCCTCCCCCTCATACCCCACCTCCTTGACCTGACACAACCTGTCTATCTACTCTCCAACCTATCCGCTCCTCCCATCTCACTCATCTATCACCATCCCACCTACCTTCCCCAGCCCCACCCCTCCTCTTTCTATTTATTTCAGAGCTCCCTTCCCCCTCTCCAGTTTCTGAAGAAGGGTCCTGACCCGAAACATCAACTTTCCTGCTCCTGTGACATTGCCTGGCATGCTGTGTTCCTCCAGCTCCACACTGTTATCTCTGACTCCAGCATCGGCAGTTCTTGCTATCTCTACATGACAGAGCGGTCAGAAAAATGTACACTGGAGCAATTGGGTGGATCGAGTATTTTTTAAAAGTTGATCCTAAAAGGATGCAGGGTGAATAACTGTATCCTATTAAACTTTGTATTATGGTGTATAACATCCTTTTTGTTTTTAAGTAAATGATTCTTCCCTGTACCAAACACTGACTTTCCTGTTTTTTTTTTTTGATGCACTGAGCCCCCGTTTCAATTCAAAAGCAGATTGTGATTCTGCATGCACAAAGTTCTAATTTGTATCCTTTATATCTTAGCCCCCATTTTACAGCCGGAACACAGCTGAAATGTACAACAACATTCTACACAAGCCACTGCAACTTAAACCCAATGTCTCAAACTCTGCCCAAGAACTCTTAGTGGGATTGCTCCAGAAAGACAGAATGCAGCGACTGGGGGCTGAGAATGACTTTGTAAGTATTTTATAAATTGTTTAGAGCAGGCAGGGTCCTGTTGCATAAATTTTAAATGGCAAGCCATAGCATCCTTTCATAGAACTGCTCAGATGCAAGGCAACATTTAATAAATATTAGTCGATAAATGCAGAGCTGGAAAAGCACAGCAGGTTAGACAGCATCTGAGGAGCAGGAAAGTCAACATTTTGGGCTGAAACCCTTCATCAGAACGCTGCCTGAGACATTGACTTGCCTGTTGCTTGGATGCTGTCTACCCTGCTGTGCTTTTATTCCACATTTATTCTAACTTCCAGCATTTGCAGTCCTTATTGTCTCCAGTTTATTAAATATAAGTCACATTACACTGAAATGTATCTGTAATGGTAACAGAATTCTCTGAATTAAATCTCCTGGTTTACTTTGCTCTCAAATTGAATAGTAATTCATTCCATTTCATTTTAAGCCACACACTGACCCATCCTGTGATGTTGCTGCTTTAATTACAGCATGCAGGCACAAGAGCTATTACATGATGACTGTGTATTCAGTTTGCAAGTTTAGTTTGTCCCTGCTTGTACTTTCCTGAGGGTTTTGACTCTCCTTTTTTAGATTCCAAGCATTCGGTGGCATAAGCTGACTTGCATGTGAGTCTTAAGTGAAGTTGAGTTGTTTTCCCTTGGGGGTATCCCTCAACAAATCCAACAGCCCAAACGCTGACTGAATAAACTCCTTCATTGTTGGTTAAGACATTTTTCAATCACTTTTCTTGTTTCTTTTGTTTTCTTTCGTTTTTCACAGATGGAACTGAAGTTCCATTCTTTCTTTACACCAATAAATTGGGATGACCTCATGGCTAAGAAAATCTCTCCTCCATTTGTTCCAACAGTGGTGAGTAGAATCTCTAATATTTGATGCATTTTGACCAGAATTTTGGATGTTTGGGTGTGGAACAATTTTTTTTTTAAAACACAAAATCTTCCTCCAATTTGAATTGAATTTCAGTTTTCACTTCCCAACCTTTTGTCTTTCTCCAGTAGCTACTCTTGTGATATAACAAGTAAAGAAATAATTTAAAATGCCACTTTATGAACATAATCATGAAAACACTAGGCAAACTTTAACTTCTCCTGTTCATTACCTAAGTTGAGGGGTAGTGTAACTCCCACAAACTGCTAAATCTCTTGTGCCTATCTTTTAACACTAGTGGATTTTACATTGTGGTTCACAAAAGACTTGTTACTGGAATTTGGTCACTATTGTTCAATTCATTTGTCTCCCAATCTTACTCGCTCCTGCTCTCAAACATGTGGAGTTCTTTCACCCTGCTCTGGGCTCTCTTAAAATCGGCTTTTTATCTTTTTGTTCACTGGATTTGGGCATTCCTGACTAGGTCAGCACTTGTTGATCCTTAATAGCACTTGAGAAGCTGGTGGTTATCCACCATCTAGAACTTCTGCAGTCTATGTATAGGAATGGGATGCCAGGATTTTTGACCCAAAATCACTGAAATAGTTCCAAGTCAGGATGGTCTGTAACTTGGTAGAGAACTTTCAACTAGTGCACCCATGTATCTGCTGCCTGCCTTTCTAGCTGATTAGGGGTTGCAGGTTTGGAAAGTGTTGTGTCCTTAATAGTGAGTTTTTTGACTGGACAGATTAGCAGAGAACAAGACAAGTTCATCCAACACTGACACACTGCCTTGCAATATTTTTAGCCAAAGGTTCTGCAGTAGCTTTAATTGTTTGCACCTCATAAATCAAGCTAAGATGTTGTAGGTGTCAATTTTGAATGCTTTTCCAACATCAGACAAAGTTGGGTCTTCAAGAAGTTTGAAATGGTTGCTCACACTTGTTGCAGGGTGATTACCTTGGCACTTCATCCAGAATCTATTCACGAGCAATGTGAACAAGTTGCTCAATGAGACTCTGTTCTTAGTAAACTTATTGGCTACTTACATGCAGTTGGCAGGCAAATCATGTAAACAGCACAATGCTTGCTGTAAGTTTTACAGCCTGTAAATTCTTAGTATTGCTGCTTTATAGAACTTTTTTTTTGAAATACAAGGAAGATTGATCGGTTGTATGAGTCATTTGAGGGACAATCTAATTTCTCAACTGTTGTAAGACACCTAGCTTGCTCCAGTTATCAATCGATAAGCATGTTAAAGTTGCAAATTTTAAGTGTGCAATGCACTGATAGTGAAGGGTGTTACCGTAATACACTTGCTGCTCTTTTTAAATAGCTGCTAACTAGTTCTAGGTATTGAATGCACAACCATTACCATTTAACTTGCCACTTTAAAAGGTCTTGCAGGATAATAGCAGTCACCTTTTACATTATAACCAAGGTTAAAAGTTGATGTTAGTGTTTTGAGGGCTTTTTTTTTTTTTTTACAGAAGCTGTTATGGTTTCTCAACAGGAGTCCACAATCTTAGGCAGATTCACCAAGAATGAATCAGTTTTAAGATGAAGCAAGCAGGAACTATTAAAAATTAGACTTTAATGAACTTTTTATTTTCTAAGCTTAACAAAACCAAGTACCTGAGTACTTAACATTTGGCTTTTGATTTTACATTGTGTTTTTAAAAAGGCAAAGACTTTCTCATTGAATCGATTTTATTGTGGCCAAAATAATTTTTTTGATCAATAGGCTATTCCAAATAATTATATTTATTAGCTGATGAAGTCTGAATTTTTAAGAATGATTCCAGCAAAAGAGCCTTTACATCATTGCAAGAACTTCCTATATTTTGTTGCTGTAGCTTCTGCTACCATTATCTACACAAGTAAAGCAGTGCTGCAATGCTACCCTGTTAGACTAATTGTCACGTGGGTTGCAAGATGTCAACAACATGAACATGTCCATTATAAAAACTTGTAATATACCATGAGTGCATTCCAGGAATGAAGCACATGTTTCCTGTGGCATTTTAGTAGTCAGTCAAAGCATCCTCTGCAAACTTAATGGATAGATCACCCTCCACTCTTGGTGATGAATGTTTCACTGTGTGGGAGGATGGTAGGTGTGTACTCAGCTGCCTGCCCAACCCAACTCTCTGATTTTATGTAGGGGGCAATGGACTTGTTACCAAGAGACTCTGAAATGCTCTGAGGCCATGGATTCTAATGAAACCACAGCAGCTTCTGGAATTTGAATTTGTTTTAATAAAATCTGTACAAAGTCAGTCTAAACAGACTGACGTTCCTTTTTTTTAAAAAACAAAAATAAACTCATTCATTAATGCTCTTTTTGTTATAGAAAGTAAATGTGCTATTCTTACCTAATCTGGTCCACATGCAACTCCAGACCACATGCACTTGGCTCTTAATTACACCCTGCAAAAGGCTAGCAAGCCACTCGGTTTTAGTTCCTGGCTATTTCAGGGTGGTCAACATGTTGGTTTTTCCAGCAACACCCCAGATGCCTTGTAGGAATAATGTTTTGGTTTTTGGCAGGTAGGCATATGTATGCCTTTCTACTCTTCCACCAACTGAAGTCCTGAAGTGAGAAGTTCATGCTCGGTCAAGGACTTCTGTCCTTCTGCTGGTATTCATGTGGCAGTGAGCTGGAGCTTCTTACCTTCTTGCATAAGATGTGGGTTTCCAGAGGGGAGGTGTATGGTTAACAGGAGGTCCATTGACTTGCCCACTACTTTTCCCCCTTTTTTCTGTGATCATTCAGGAGTTTGGGGCTCTGATCGTGGGAGCCAGGTGAGTGCAGCAGCCATCATCTATCCTGTGACACTGCACAGGAGTGAAGAGTTTCTGACCAGTAGCTCGTAGAGGCAGGATGTCTAGCCCTGGGGTCCTTGATCCTGAGGAAGGTCTGTCATTGTGCAGTTAAGTGTCAGCATTAAAAAAAAAAAGCTGGTTTTTCCCCCCAACGGACTCTTGCTGGTTCTCCAGCCAGTGGGTGAGAGCTCCTATCACCTATATTGAATGATCCCCATAAGATTAGACCATTCAACCCATTGAATCTGTTCACAGTTCAATCATGGCTGGGGTTGAGAAACATTCTCTTGCCTTTTCCCTGTAGCGCTTGATCCCATTATTAATCAAGAACCTATCCATCTTAAATAGACTCAATGACTTAGTCTCCACAGCCGTCTGCAGCAATGAGTTCCACAGATTCACCACCCCTAGCTGAAGAAATTCCTCCATTGCAGTGAAAGGAAGACCCATTAGAACTGAGGCTGTTCCCTTAAATCTCTTTTTTGTCTTTTCTATCAGTGGAAACCTCTCCACGTCCACTCTCTAGACCTCTCGGTATTGAGAGTCTCAATGAGAACCCCCTGCCACATCCTTTTGAATTCTTTTGGGTACAGACCAAGAGCCCTCTACCACTCATGACAAGCCCTTCATCCCTGTGATCACTCATGTAAGCCTCCTCTGGACCCCCTCCAATGCTGGCACATCCATCCTTTAGATATGGGGTCAAAGACTGCTCACAATATTCCAAATGCAGTCCCAACCAGAGCGTTATACAGCCTCGGCAGTGCATCTCTGCTCTTGCCAATGAATGCTAACATTGCATTTGTCTTCCTAAACATCAACTGAAGCTTCATACTGATATTAGAATCTTGAACTGAGACTCCCAAGTCACACTGTGCTTCAGATTTCTGAATCCTTTGCCCATTTAGAAAGTAGTGTACACCTCTGCTTTCAACCAAAGTGTACAACTTCATCTTTCCGACATTGTATTCCATCTGCCACTTCTTTGCCTAATGTCATAGTCATAAAGATATACAGCACAGAAATGGACTCTTCAGTCTAACCTGTCCATGCCGTGGGTTTCCTCCGGGTGGTCCGGTTTCCTCCCACAGTCCAAAGATGTGCAGGCTAGGTGGATTGGCCATGCTAAATTGCCCACAGTGTTCAGGGATGAATAGATTTGGAGGGGAGGGGGTATAGGGGATGGGTTCTGGGTGGTAAACCTGAAGGTCGGTCTGAACTTGGGCTGAAGGGCCTGTTTCCACACTGTAGGGATTCTATGATCTGATCTATACTGACCAGATATCCTGTATAAATCTAGTCCTGTTTGCTAGCATTTGGCCCATATCCCTCTCAACCCTTTCTATTCACTTACCCATCCAGATGCCTTTTTAAATGTTCTAATCGTACCAGCTTCCACCATTTCCTGTGGCAGTTCATTCCGTAGATGCACCACCCTGTGCATAGAAAAGTCGCTCCTTGGGTCACTTTTATATTTTTTTCCCCCCTCTATGCCCTCTAGTTTTGGTCCTAGCCTGTGCAGGTCCTTCTGCAGCCTGTCTGCTTTGTCAACTCAATTTGTCCCTCACCTGCTTTTGTCGTCTGCAAACACAGCAACAATGCCCAGAATTTCTTTGTCTCGATCCATTCATCATGAATGGTTGATCTCAGCACTGACCCCTGTGGAACTCCAAGTCACTGGCTACCATTCTGAAAAAGACCCCTTTATCCCTAATCTCTGCCTTCTGCCAGTCAGCCGATACTCTCTCCATGCCAGCACCTTGCCCCTAACACCACTGACTCTTATATTTTTTAGCGGGCTCCTGTGCAGCACCTTCTCGAAGACCTGGAAATACAAATAGATTATCACTGTCACTGGCTCTCCTTTAATTAACATCATTATCTCCTCAGAATTTTAACAGATCTGTCAGACATGACCTTCCCTTGACAAAGTCGAGTTGACTCAGCCCTACGTTACAAGTACTCTGCAATCTCCTCTTTAACAATGGACTTTTTCTCAAATCTTAGCAAGAGGCCAGGGTAACCAGCCTATAGTTGCCTCCTGCCGCCTCCCGCCCTCCCCTCCGACCACCTACCAACACCAAAACATGGGTGTTAGATTTAGCCATTTCCAGCCTTCTGGGACCCTCCCTTACTCCAGTGATTCCTGAAAGATCAACGCCAATGCCACTAAATCTCCTCAGCTATCTCCTTCAGAACACTGGGGTGTAGTCCACCTGGTCCAGGTGAGTCAGCCAGCTTCAAGCTGTTCAGCTTCATCCACACAATCTTGCTGATATCTGTGATATTCACCTCTGCCCCCTGAGTCTAAGTTCTGGTATGCAGCTAGTATCTTCTGGTGAAGACTGATGCCAAGGACTCGTTCCTCTGCCATTGTTTTGTTCCCGTTATGAACACATCCAGTGTCCACTCATGCTTCTGTACCTTTTATTAGATTTTTTTTTAAAAATCTTGTAATTTTTTTATTACTAGCTATCTTACCTCATTTCATCTTCTCCAAATTTGTTGCATTTTTAGTTATCTTGTACTGGTTTTAAAGGCTTCTCAATCCTCTGACTTCCCACCAATCTTCACATTCTATGCTTTTTCTTTCTTTTTAATGCTGACTTTAATTGCCTCGTCTTCCCCTTAGGATGTTTCTTCTTCCATGGGATGAATTTTTGCTGTGCCTTTCGACTTATGGCAGAAAATTCTGCCATTGCTGCTCCATTGTTTTCCCTGCTAGGCTCCCTATCCAATTAACTCCGGCCAGCTCCTCCCAAATGTAGTATTCATTATCTGAGGGTGAATTGCCACTGGTCCCTAGGGGGCCTTTAAAAGCCCCTAATCAAGTCTGCCTCATCACACATCAAATCCAGAATTGCCTGTTCCCTAGAGGGCTCTACCACAGGCTTCTCCAGTGGGAGGGAAAACTCCTAGACATTCCTTTTCCTTAAGATCTGCTACAAACCCACATTTCCCAGTCCACCTGCATATAGAAGCATCACCATCCATTACTGTAATACAAAAGTATGTAAAAGAGGCACAATCTCCTGATTTACTTTATTCCTCCCATCCTACCTACTGCTAGAGGCCTGTACACTATTCTCATTAGGGTGAGTCTTCCTTTTTGGTTCCTCAACTCTACCCACAAATTTTACACCTTCCAAATCTATCACTTCTTAATTTCAATTTTACACTTCATTTCTTACTACCAAGGCTATGGTGATCCCCCCCCACCATGCCAACCTACCTGTCCCATTGATAGAATGTGTATCTTTGGATATTTCGTTCCTTGCAGCCATGTCTGTAATAGCCACAACATCATACCTGCCAATTTCCAATTGTGCTACAAACTCATTTACTTTGTGCACTTAAGTACAACACCCTTAGTCTTATGTTGACTGACCTTCTTCTCATTGTCCCCTTTTATCTGCTGTGCTTGAAGTTAGTTTCCTGAGCCTTTCCATACTCTGTCCTCTTGCATGTTTCCCTCCTTAATATTAGACACTTTAAATCTGTTCGGACATTGTTTTTAATCTGACTGTAGCCAACTTGAATTAAATGGGTTAACATTAATGTTTCAATAGCAATTGAAAAGATTCCATAAAGGTATTGAGTCTTTGAGCACAAATGCTCAGTGTAATCTCAACATTAACTGTGACTGACTTTGAGAAACAAAACATCCACCTTTTAAAGTTACTATTTTTCTTTTTCCTCTTTTGTAGTTTGGACCGACTGATCTTCAACACTTTGACCCAGAATTTACCCAACAACCAGTTCCAACCTCAGTTGCAAACTCTCCTGAAGACTTCCTGATTACTGCCAGTGCTCGAGAGGCTGCTGAAGCTTTCCTTGGATTCTCCTATGTTCCTCCTGTAGATGATACCTACCTATAATAAACAAGGTGGACTATAATGCCTTTATGTTTTAAATAGCAAAGAACTGATTGAGGCAGAAACCTTCTGCACATTGTGCACCTTACAGCATGAGAGCTCTCCTCTCAATCTCCTTTTTTTTTTTTTGCTGAAGTATTTTTCTGTTGGAGTAGAGTCTTTCTATTGTAGTCTTCAGGATTCATCAGCTTCTGAGAATGGATCCTCAACTCTGCTCCTCAAAGTTTAATAATGTATGAACTTTGTGCACACGATTTTCCCTTTCAACTTGGCAACATTTCAGAAAAGGGGCCTTCGTGAATGACTGTCCACCTGAAATACGTCATGGCTAAGGAGTACATTCTTCAGAGTTACTCATAGTAGATGACCACCACCCAAGCAGCAAAGTGTGCCAAACATTGTACCAACAAAGCTGTATCAATTTGAGCCACTATAATGGCAGTACTTTCTCCTTTGAATCGAGAAAGAATTTGGTAAAAAACCTGTGTCCCTACTTCTGAGAGGCACTTGCCTGAAACAAAGTATTGTCTGCCAAAAGTTAAGGAAAATGGCATTTGCCCACACTTGATCCAATCAACAAAATCACCCTCCACTGACAGGAGAAGTCTTACATTCCACACAAGAACTGACCAGTTGTTCGTCAAGTCTTTTCATTAAAGTAATTAATGACAATACAATCAGGACCATTTGCAACAAGAAAATTTTTATAACAGCATTTCTAAGACTTTGAAAGTCTTTCTTCCACAAGAATGTATTTGTCTATTTTAGACACAAGTTGGGACATGGAGGACATTATTGGTATTGCATGGACTGAACTTTAAGTGTAATTGTATTGACATTAAATTGAATAGCAATTACTATAAAATGTTAACCTTTGACCCACTGAAGACTACAGTTAGTATTTCTGAATCAAATTTAATGCAGTTACTTGTCCATCAGTTTAGATGAACACTGTACCAAATTATTCTCTCAATTCTCTAGATTTCTCACTACATCGTATGAATCAATCTTTAAGATATTGTTTTAAATCCAAGATGACTAAATATAGGGCCAGCAGGACAACATCTAGTCTCAAAGTGGATTCAATCAATCTCAACTGAGTTACATTTAAAAGCCAGATGGCTATAGGAGGAAGGATAGACTTTGAAAGATGGGGGAGAAAGTAGTATTTGGAAGTCTTTGTACAAAGAAACAATGATGGGGGAATAGATCAATTTCTAAATTAAATTGTTGGGTTTATGAAGGGGTTTGTAATGCAGTTGGAAGAAGTTCACTTGATACTGATATTAGACCATCCTATGGGATGTGGCAGTTATGCTAGCTCAGTCTGCTGGAACATCACCTAATGATGAGGTTGCAATTTGGAAGTAACTATTCAGCAGCTTAAAAAGGGTTAAATACCTGCTGTCTTATTTCTTTCATATTTGAAAGATTACATTTTAGTTTTTCATTTACATGTTGTAAACAAAAAGATTTCTTGGAAATAGTTGGGTTGAGAGCAGTATTTAAAATGTGGTACATTACTTTGAAACTGAAATATTTATTTTTTTAATCCTAGCTGTACTGAATTTGAAGTGCTCTAGTTGCCTTGTGAAACTCAGTTTTCAGTTGAATCACTGTGGTAAAGATGATAGGTATGTTCTAATGAGTTGACCCATTGTCAAAAGCATTCTTACAATGTACAATGGTGAGCATATAATTTCTTGAACACCTAATTCTGTTGGAAAGAACAATTTTGACTTGCATAACCTTAGGGTAAATTATTAGCATCAGGATCACTGAGATGAATGAAGAATATTGCATTAAGTTGTAAATTTAAGAACTATTTTACTCATGGTGTAGTGATTACAGCATGCTTCATCAGCTTAGTGACAAAATTGAGTCTAGTATTGGAGTGCAAATTAATGGGGGAAGAGTTGGCCTGTCAATGTTCCAAATTTTATTCAAAGAAAAACTGCAATTTTTTTTTTTTTTTGCTACATGTAGCTACCTCTTCTGACCTTCCCTCCCCTCCAAATCATTGATCTGAATGAAAATTAATCTTGGTTTTTTTTTTGTGCACGTGGGTTTATGGAGGACTGGCCTAAGAATTAGTACATAAAGACATTAATGTGTACTCCTTGAGTTGGTTGATCTACATATGTGAAATAGAGATCTCTAGATATGTTGCATATTTATAAGATGAGATCAGCCATCTGTTTGTTTGACTTTAGACTTGCAACATAGATTTAGAAATACATGTAATGGTTTATAATGGACAAATTGTGATTGAACCAATAAACTGGATTCCCCTTGCAAAGATCAACGAGTGTGTTTCATTTTGTTCTGTTGTCTTTGTCCTTTTTAAAATGCGGTCACCTCATGAATGAGGGGCAGGAGAATATTCTGTCTTTGAATAAGAGGACAACTGATCCAATTGTGTCCTCTAATTTCTACTGTCTACTCCTGCCTGAAGAATCAGTGCTCAGATATACTTGGAAAATCTGATGCAAATTGTTTTGTTTTTTTTCTTCTATTTCAATGAATGGGGGCATCAATAGTTGGACACAGCATTCATTGCCCATTCATAATTGCCCAAAGGGCAATTAAGACTCAACGTATTGCTATCCTTACCTGGTCTGTCCTACATGTGATATCAGATTCTCAGCAGCTTACTTACCTAAAGGACATTTAGTGAGCCAGATAAGGTTTTCCTGACAATGTATTCATGGTCATTATTAGTTCTTAATTCCAGATTTTGATTAAACTCAAATTCCACTATATCTGCCATGGTGGGATTTGAACTCGAGACACAAAACACAAAATCAGATTGTACTTTTGAGCTTATGCCATCCCTTCCCCCTAACTAATTGTGCCCAAATAATTTGAAAGCAGCCAGAAATGATGGCTGAAAGAAATCAGAGATTCCCTGAATCAAAGTAAATGTAGCGGGTAGATGACCTTTTGCCAGATAATGATTTCAAAAACCTTATGAGACTTCTACTGGAAACTATCATGTACTGACATTTTTTCAATCCAAATCGACTTGATACCAAACTATTTCTAGGTGTTGCCAGAACACTAGAGGGCAGTGTTGCATAACAATGCCAGAGAGCTCTTGGCATGAATTAGCTACTGAACACAGGCCTCAGCCCTTTGGCAGCACGTCGAAAAGTAAGAAAAGCTGCACCTTGGTTCTGATTTTTTAAAAAAATAACTTGCGTATGCACTGGTGACTAACATTCCATAAGTGGTGCAGAACACAGGTCAAAACACTGCATGAATAATTTCCTAAAGTTTACAGGAAGCCTAAATCCTGGAATTCAAATGGATCAAAGGGTTTGAAATTTCAATGAGCTTTCATTGTGACAGATGCATCACAAAGGAACCTAGGAAAGTGACAAGGTTTTCTAAAGTAGTTTCAGAGATAGTAGGAGC